TCTTTGCTCATCACCACACGGCCCAGTGGCCTGGAGAAGCTTCGTGGCTTGCTGGAACACCCCCGGCACGTGGAGATCCTGGGCTTCTCCGAGGCAGAGAGGAAGGAGTACTTCTACAGGTATTTCCATAACACCGGGCAAGCGAACCAAGTGTTGGGCTTCATGATGGACAACGAGCCTCTCTTCACCATGTGTTTTGTTCCCATGGTGTCCTGGGTGGTCTGCACCTGCCTCAAGCAGCAGCTGGAAAGCGGGGAGCTTCTGAGACAAACATCTAGGACCACCACGGCGGTTTACATGTTCTACCTTCTGAGTCTGATGCAGCCCAAGCCAGGGACCCCACTGTTCAAAGTCCCAGCCAGCCAGAGAGGTCTGGTCTCGCTGGCTGCAGAGGGCCTCTGGAACCAGAAGATCCTATTTGAGGAGCAGGACCTTGGTAAACACGGCCTCGATGGAGCAGACGTCTCTAGCTTCCTCAACGTGAACATCTTCCAGAAGGACATCAAGTGTGAGAAATTCTACAGCTTCATCCACCTGAGCTTCCAAGAATTCTTCGCAGCCATGGACTGCGCCCTGCACGGCACAGAGACAGTGAGGAGAGCGCTGGCTGAGTATGCCTTCTCAGAAAGGAACTTCTTGGCGCTCACCGTCCGCTTCCTGTTCGGCCTCCTCAATGAGGAGATGCGATGTTACCTGGAGAAGAGTCTAGGCTGGACCATCTCACCTCAGGTCAAGGAGGAAGTGTTAGCGTGGATCCGAGACAAGGCTCGCAGTGAAGGCTCCACGCTGCAGCGTGGCTCCCTGGAACTCCTCGGCTGCTTGTATGAGATCCAAGAGGAAGACTTCATCCAGCGCGCCCTGAGCCACTTCCAAGTGGTCGTGGTCAGCAACATCGCAACCAAGATGGAGCACCTGGTGTGCTCCTTTTGCGCGAGGTACTGCAGGAGTGCGGAGGTGCTCCATTTGTACGGGAGTGCCTACAGTGCAGGCGCAGAGCGTGACCCCCCAGAACCTTCCGGAGCCCCGGCTCTATCCGACCACTTGTAAGTGCCCTTGGGGAACAAGGCTCCTCCTTGCCCTTCATCCTATCTTTTAGGTACCTGTGACCACGCCAGGCGTGGTCATCGATACAGGTATGGGGTCTCTCCCTACAAATGAGTCATTCAGAGGGCTGGAGACAGGACTCAGTGGTTAAGACCTGGGTTCAATTAGCAGCACTCACATAGCAGCTCACAACTTTCTTAACTCCAGGATCAAATACCCTCACACAGACATACATGCGGGCAGAACACCAATACACAAAAAGTAAAAATAAATAAAAGAGCCGGGCGTTGGTGGCACCCACGCCTTTAATCCCAGCACTCGGGAGGCAGAGACAGGCGGATCTCTGTGAGTTGGAGGCCAGCCTGGGCTCAAGAGCGAGTGCCGGGATAGGTTCCAAAGCTACACAGAGAAACCCTGTTTCGAAAAACCAAAATAGTAATAATAATAACAATAATAATAATAATAATAAATAAAATAAAAAATAAAATATTTATCTTTTATAAAATAATTTATTTATTTTTTTGAGACAAGGTTTTTCTGTGTAGCCTTGGCTGTCCTGAAACTTACTCTGTAAACCAGGTTCACCTGCCTCTGCCTCCTGTGTGTGTGTGTACATGTGTGAAGGTGCAATGTCATGGCACATGAGTTCAGACTAGAGGACAACTTATGGGAGCTCACTTCTCTCCTTCAACCGTGTGGGTCTCAGGGATTGAACTCAGGTCTTGAGGCTTGGTAGCAAGTACCTTTACCCGCTGTGCCATCCTACTAACCTTTAGTTTTATTTTATTCATTTTCAGTATCTGTGTGTGTCTCTCTTTGTATGTGTGTCTGTATGTCTGTGTGTGTGTGTGTGTGAGTGTGTGTGTCTATTAGTGTGTCTATGTCTCTCTGTCTCTCAGTGTGTCCTGTGGCTGTGTGTGTGCTCGCGCATGTGTGTGTGCATGTGTATGTGTGTGCAAGCGTGTGTGCACATGCCAGAGTCCAGCTCCAGTGGGTTTCAGGACCCACAGAGGATGTGTGGAGCTGGCCAGGGAAGAAGACTGGCACCATCTGAGGACGAATCAGGATGGCTGCCTGTTTGTTGAAAATAGACTACACCTTATTGTAGTCTTTATAATTGCATCATGCTTTAACCACAAGCAATATTGAAAGCAGACTTAATGCATTCTGGCAGGAAGGCAGACATCAATGTCATTACAGTATTTTTCTTGAAGCAAAAAGCAGTAAGTTGAGCGTGAATCTGAATGCCTACTGTTCTCTAAGGTTCAGTAACCACACCAGGCGCCCTCTTACACTTCTTCCTTCATGGTCAGGAGGTGTCAGACATTGAGTCCCAAGAAACAAACCCGTAAGCAATGCTGGAGTTAGCAGTTTTCATTCTTCAAGGGGCATGATGTAGTGTTTGTGTCGTGTAGCACCACAAGCCCTGAGCTGTTTCCTGATTGCATTTCTTTGTGACTTAGTCTTCTAATATGGGCTTGTGACCCACTTAAGCTCCCAAAGGGGAAGGCAGAGGGGGATCCAGTCAGTCTGTCATTTTTGTTTGTTTTTGTTTGTTTGTTTTTTGAGACAGGGTTTCTCTGTGGCTTTGGAGCCTATCTTCGCACTGGCTCCTGCAGACCAGGCTGGTCTCGAACTCACAGAGATCCATCTGCCTCTGCCTCTGCCTCCCGCCGGCTTCAGTCTGTCATCTTTTTTTTTTTTAATTTATTTTGGAGGCAAAGACAATTGACTTTCTTTCTTTCTTCCTTTCTTTCTTTCTTATGCTTCCATGTCTATCTGCACACCAGAAGAGGGCACCAGATCTCATAACGGATGGTTGTGAGCCACCATGTGGTTGCTGGGAATTGAACTCAGGACCTTTGGAAGAGCAGTCGGTGCTCTTAACCTCTGAGCCATCTCTCCAGCCCCCGGTCTGTCATCTTAATGGAATCTCTTCCCCATGGGGCACACCAGGTCTTGCCACTCATCCAGTAAGCCATGAATCGTGGGTACTATTCTATACTCATAAACTGAGCTTGTGCCTAAGTGACCCCACGCTCTAGATCTGGGCCCATCGTTTCTCTAGGCTGTGTGTTTTTCATGAGACAGAGCCATGTAGCCCAAGTTTGTCTCCAACTCTATGTGTAGCAGAAAAAGATACTGAACCCTGATCCTCCAGCCTCCTCCTCCCAAGGGCGGGATTTTCAGGCATGCACCGCAATGCCCAGCTAGTTTTGACAGGGTCTCACCCTGTTGTCCTCCTGCCTCACCCTCCGCCTCCCTGGTGCTGGGATTACAAGTGTGAGTCACATGGCCACCAGTCAAGGATTTTGTTGTCTCCACCCAGGCCTCAGACAACATCCAGGAAATCTGAGCAAATGCTTTGGCTGTCACACGGGGAAGCCGGGTGAGGCTACTGACACCTAGTGGCAAGAGGTGGGAGATGCTTCGACTCGGCCCATGTAGACAGACCAAACATAAGTTGGTCCCTAAATACTCAGTGGGTCCATACAAGGGGGATCCCCAAACATGCGGAGTGGTCCCTATAGTGCAAGAGCTGGGACCTGCGCTTAAACATATTCGCTGATACTAAACGGGGGATCATGATAGGGAGAATCTGTTATTAAAAAGCTTTCAGCAGACAGTGGTGGCAACACACGCCTTTAATACCAGCACTCAGCA